ATCTTAATTCTTTTCATGTTCCCTTTGCTTCTTCTATCTCCGTCTCCCTCCATCTCTTGGTTTCATTCCCATTTGCAAAAGATCTATTTCCCTATATTCTGTTATCTTTTATTTTGCTTTCTATTTATACTTTGGGCTTTTCATATAGCACAGACTACATTATATTTAAAATGTGTGCCTTATTTATTTTACTTAACATTATGGTGTTAAGATGCATCAATTTTCCTACAAATGACTCAAATTTATCCATCTTTATAGAAAAATAGTAATCTATTATATATAAGCATCACATTTTTCTTTATCCATTCGTCTATTGATGGACATAGAGACCACTTCCAGAATTTACTCCTTATGAATTGTGCTACTATAAAAACATGGGTATGCATGTATTGCTGTAATATATGTCTTTAACTCTTTGAGTAAGATACCTAGAAGAGGAATAGCTGTGTTGAATGGAATATGTTTTTTAATTTTTTGAAATATTTCCATACTGATTTCTATAATGGTTATTCTGCGCTAATTTATATTCTCACTACCATTGTAGAAGTTTCTTTTTCCCACAGACTCTCTAGCATTTGCTATTATTTGGTTTCTTGATGATAGCCATTCTTTCTAGAGTAAAATGGAATCTCAGTGTTATTTTAATTTGCATTTCTCCAGTGGCCAGTGATGTCGAACATTTCATATATTTATTGATCATTTGTACTTCTGAGAAGTGCTTTTGCATTTTAGTTGCCTATTGTTTCATTCGGTTTTTTATTGGGGGAGGTTTAGTTTTTTAGTTCTTTATATATTCTAGATGTTAGTCCTCTGTCTGAGGAATAGCTGGCAAAATTTTTCTGTTATATAGATTGCCTCTTCACTCTGTTGGTTTTTTCCTCTGCTGTGCAGAATCTTTTAAATTTCATTTATCCTATTTGTTGATTCCTGATGTTATTTCTAATGCAATTAAGGTTCTGTCCAGAAAATCCTTGCCTACACTATCTCTTCAAAACTTTTACCTATTTTCACTTCTGGCAGATTAAATGTTGCTATATTTAGATCTCTGATCCTTTTGGTGTTAGTTTATTACATAATAAGAGACATGTGTAACCAGTTTTCCCAGAACATTTTGGTGAAGAGCTACCTTTCCCCCAACATATGTTTTTGGCCCCTTTGTCCAAGATCACATGGCTGAATGTGCCTGGGATTGTCTGTGCATCCTCTTTTCTGTTCCATTGATCCACATGTCTGTTTCTGTTCCAATATCATGCTGTTTTTATTACTGTAGCTATGTAATATAACTTGAGGTTTGGGACTGTGATGTCTTCTCCTTTGCCCTTGTTGCTCAAGATTTCTTTTGCTCTTCAGGATCCATATAATTTTAGAATTGTTTTCTTGTATTCTGTGAGGAATCCTGTTGTTATTTTGTTGGGATTGTATTAAATCTATATAAGTTTTGGAGATAAGGCCATTTTGATGATTTGTTTCTGCCTATTCAGAAACAGGTATATTTAAATTTTCTGGTGTCTGATCTCTTCTCAGAGTTGTATGGTTTTTGTTATAGAAGTCTTTCATTGCCTCATGTTAATTTATAAGTATTTAATTTTTCTTGGTGCTATTGTGAATGGTATTGTTTTCTTATTTTCTTTTTCAGTGGCTTCATAATTGATGTACAGGAATCTTGGTTTTCATGACGTAAATTTTGTATACTGCTACCTTGCTGAATTTGTTTATTAATTCTAGGAGTCTTTTGCTAGAATTTTGTGTGCAAAAGAATCATGTCATCTGAAAATAACACTAGTTTGACTGTTTCAGTTCCTATACTTATCCCTTTCATTTCTTTTGCCTGATTGTTCTGGCTAAAGTTTTTAGTAACTATATCGAACAGGAGTGGTGATAATGGATGACCTTGTCTTGTTTCTGATTTCAGAGGAAAACCTTTCAGTTTTTCTCCATTTAATAAGATATTGGCAGCGAGTTTGTCATAAAATGGCTGTTATCAAACAGATAAGGTCTCTTATATCAGTTTTCTTCAGGGTTTTAATCATGAAGGATGTTGGATTTTGTCAAAGGCTTTTTCTGTGTCTACTGAGATGATCATGTGATTTTTGTCCTGCTTCTATTTATAAGATGTATTACATTTACTGATTTGTGTTGATTTCTGAAGCAATTGTTAAATACTTTCAATATTATCTGTGCTTCTACCAATGCTATGATCCTATAGAATCAACAAACTCCAAATAGCCTATAGGCTGTTATGAAATAACACTTCTCCAAGCAATAAAAGGAATACTTGTATATATTTATTCTCAAATAAGTACCATGGAATAAGTAATAAAAAGAATATCACAGAATGGGAAAGCAGTTACAAGCTTACAATCAAAAGTTGATTTATAATAATAAACAAACACACAGATATACCATGTGCCAGCCACTGTGTTAAGCATTTTACATAAATTAATTTATTTAATACTCAACTCTGTGGAATAGGCACTATCATTATTCCATTTTATAGATGACAAACTTGAAGAACAGGATGATTGAATAGTTTACCTGAGTTTAAAACCTAACAAATGGCAGGCACTAAATTCAAATCTAGGGGTTTGCTCCAGACCAAGGCTTTCAAATCTTACTCTGTTATGTCTGCTTTGAAAATTGGTAAACATTCATCATATGAACAAATAAGATAGTAAACTTTTCAAAGAGATGAGCAGAGTTAATACCTGAAGAAAAAAATTCAATAAATGATTACAGAAAAATAAAAATCTTTGTTATAATTAAAGTAGATGAATAAAACGTAATTCAGTACCATTTTTAAATTAGCAAATGTCAGTAGATGTGAAAATGATGATTGTGCAGGGGATACAGGAAATCAAACACACTTTCAGTGGTGATTGGCATGACAAATTGATGAAGCTTTCTGGAGAACAATGTGAAAGAAGGTTATGAGAACTTTAAAATTATTACTCTTCCCTTTCATGTTGGAATTTCAGTTTGAGAAAAATACCTCAAATAAAATAACCTAAAAAAATAAATAGGTGCTATCTTATGAAGATATTGGTACCATTGGTGTATACAGTAGTGGAAATTCGATAATTCACACTACAAAAGCAAAACAGCTAAACAAATGATGGTGTGGTAACAACATCGAACATCAAATGGGTCTTAAAATAAGAAGTATATGAGCTTTTTCTAAAGTATAAATATGCGTGGGAAATGAACCTGAAAATAAAATAGACCGCATGACAATACATACACTGATAGTAACCACAGAAGAACATATGTGATTTATTTAAAGCCTAGAAAAAAGTGGATATAGGAATTGAATCTTAATGAATGTGTATTTGTTTCTTTATCAATCTCATGTTACTTAAATTATCTTTGGCTTGCCCTCTTGTGTATGACAAAACAAATAAAAGAAATAAGGGAGCACATTTCAAAAATGGATCCATTTTGTCTAAATGGAATTGCACTGTATATCTTGGATATGATCTTGTATAGAGCTCTTTGGGAACCCCATCTAATAGCAAACACTAGGATAAGGCACAAAAGAAAGAAAAAAGTGGTAAGTGAATGCATGTGCAAGGTCAGGAAAAATAGTCTAGGCATTCGTCATACTTGGCTGAGACATGCATGTGAGAACAACCCCACCCATAGTCAGCCACAAATGGCCTGCCAAGTGAAAAAGTAAAATAGCAGCATATGCTAAAAATTTTGCTGCTTTTATGATATGCAGAGAGACATTTTCATTTATATATCCCCACCCCACCCCGCTCCTACACTGCTAAGAATCCAGTCTGCCATTTGCTGTGATTTCTTTCAGTCTTTTTTTGGGCAAATTTTCCATTTTCTTCTCACCCTATGTAGTGATCTTCAGCACCCAGGCTGCATGTGTCTGATATTTCAAAAATATACTTGGTTCACCAGAGTCTCTATTTCTATTTAACTTCCCCTTCCTCCTCACCACCACCACCATTTACCATTTATTGAATGTTCTACATATAGTCAGATGTGCTTCAGTTGGTGTCATTATGAATATTAAAAATAGAGTTTTGAAAGAAAACACATAGAGTCCTCTATGCTGTATATTTCTCCAAGAAGCACAACACTGAATAATTTTTCAAATGCAACCCCATTTTCATCTTGCCAGCAATTTGGCAGTTCTCAAAAGGTTACTGCTCTGAATTTGTTTTCTTTGTAATTTTGCAGTCCATTTGTTCTGCCTTAATGCTGAAAATCTATGTAAGATCGTAACCTCCATATGCCATATACCAGTAGATTTACTGTTTTCTTGGAAATTTTCTTCTACACTAAAACTAGAGAAAGAATGGATTTTATGATTTGTTAAAATGGCATATGGGCTAAATGTTTAAGGTTAAAATTGAAAGGCTCTCAAACCAGGTAGGACTTAATTACCAGCTGTGCCTCTGAAGGCTAGTTTTTTGAGAATATCTCTTCAAATTTCTAAGATACATTTTAAGAAATTCTTATACCTGAAAAGGAAAGGTGTAGTTAAGCTCCCAGGATTCTTATTTACCTTGCCCTGAAGGTAATTTCACATCTATTTTAATGACCACATAAAATGGAACTATTATAGGATCATAAACCAAACCAAAAAAGTGAAAGCCCTGCATACAAAATAATGAAGAGCTACGTATTTAGGTGGAAAATAAATTTTCTCTATATCTGGTCATTTCCTTTGTGTTTATGTGCAAATTTTTAACAAATGTTCAATGTGATGAAACATTCTATGGAACCAACACAGCAATGGTTACAGCAAGTCCCCCAACTCAGGAGATTTCTGTCTGATGAGAGAAATAGAATTAATACTGTCAAAGTAATTAGAAAACAATAAAAGCTAAATTGTGTGGCTCTGCAGGCATTTAGGGAAATGAGGGAGCTGCTGGATAGGGAGGTAAAGATGTTTTATACAGGAAGTTGAGTGTGAGGTGGGCATTGGAGAACAAGAAGAAAAGAGAAAAGCAAGGAAGAATGAGAGGAAAGTGGCTGGAGGGTACCTGTGGCTGAAGATAGAGATCTGGTCTCCATGTGGGTACTTGTGTGTCACCAGGGCTTCTCTAAAAGGAATGTTCAGTCCAAGCAGAATAGTCCAGTACTGGTGGTCAGGTGAGTGTGCAAAGTCTGAAGCTAGTGAGCTGCTCCCCTCCCTCATGAGGGCAGAAGTTCAAAGCATGCTGTTTTCTTGGAAAAAGAGAACAAAGAGGACAGTTGGAGAATGCGTCATGGAAGGAAAGAGAAAATTTGATGGATTCATGAATTCATGTTGGTTACATAGAGCATAGATTTGGGAAGTTGTGGGTATTGAAGACTTTACATTTCATCTTATACTTTATATGCTTTGGGATATATATATATATATATATATATATATATCAAAGGTCATGGATTTTAATAGCAAATTGGAAAATGTAATTCTAAGATTATAAAGGACTTTACTACTGACAAGTGGGTTAACTGTGAAAGGAAACTAGCCTCATTCCAGATGAGCATATCTGTGCATCCAGACACACACATACACATGCACGCATGTACCCTTCTTAGTCTGATGAGCATATAGCCATGTCTGTAACTGACTGGTTTCTGTTCCTTGGAATCCTAGGCTTTGTAGATTGGAACTGCCTCTTACTTGCTTTTACAACATCTCTGCCATTCTATCTTGGATTCCAGTGTGCCAGAAAGATCTGGCCTTTGCTGCTGCTTCTCATTTGTCAGGTCTGCTTGAAGATACTCTGCTGAGTCTTTCTTGAGTTTCTTCGCTGTAAAGCCACCCCTGTCCTTTGCATCCTTCCAGAGCCATGTGTAATGCACTGCTATCCATCTTTCACACTTATCCAACTCTGAGAGCCTGACTTGCAGGCGAAAGTGACCCAGGGTTGGTGGGTTGGCCCCATACCAGGACTTTGTTGACTACAGCCCGAGGCAGATTAATGTTCAGGGAGCTCATATTCACTAACAGGCCATCAGGCTTTCTAACTGATTTCATAATTTATGGAAGAGATGGCCCTGCCCCTGTAATAGAAAGCAGTGGCATCCTACATACAAATTGAGAGACTGCAAGCTAAGTCGAGCCACAGAGCCTTTGAAGGCTTCATGTGTTCCAGCCAATTAGGGGCGGCTTTGTAACACAAACAGTAAATAGCAAAGAGGAAGTATTTATTGGGATTCACATATATGAGTAGCTTTGTATCAAGAGTGCTCTGGGGAGGATACAACACGTTTTATGGAAACGCACATTGGGTGGAGAAAAAGTGATTAGAAGTGGTGATTTGGCAAATGACCACCACTGAGGTGAAATTGTTTCTATAAAATGAAGTTAAAGATCTTCATACCTGACCAGAACAGATACCTGTCTGAGGACAAGATGTGGCTTCATGTTAAATCTACAGATTTTGTTTTTGAAACTATAAGCTCTTCAACCCCTCAGGGGATTTTTTCTGAGTTTGAAGTTCTGAGCTTTTTGAAAGAAATTACACGTCTATGACATAAAAGAATTTTGAATGCTTTCTTTCATCAAAGGTGGAAAATAAATCAAACTAGAAAAATGCTGAGAGCTTTGAAAATGAAAAAAATTCTGTATGAATTTATAGCACAAGTAAAATTTAAGACTTTTTTAAAAAGACTTTAAATGAAGCAAAATTCAAGATTTTGAAAAATACATTTTGGTCCTAATCTTAAATATTTTGACACCTTAGAATGAATTTTTAATGAGATTAAAATGTATACTATTCATAAGAATTTTGTAAAATTAGAATATTTGACAAAAATCTTTCATTCATTTTATAGTTTTTAGTTTTGTTTTTCTGAAACAAGGTCTTGCTATGTAGTCCAGGCTTGCTTTGGACTCAAGCTTGCTTTGGTCAGGGGGAGACCTCTGAATTAGTGCATTAGGGTCTGCAATTTAAATCATGCAAATGAACAGCAATGTCCAAATGTAGGGAAGAGCATTCAGGTGTAGTGAACAATAAGTTGAAAGAGTAAAATGAGACTGGCTTGTCTGGGGCTAAAGTAGGAAGGGAGGTGTGGGTCAGCTTTTATGGGATCTTTTGGGTGATTATAAGGAATATGAATTTTGTTTTAAGAGCAGAAGTAAGGTATAAGACTTTTTAAAACTGCATGCATACATATTAATGAGGTTCAATGGTTCAATACGGTGTTTCAATTCATGAATACGGCATGCACTGATTAAAAATAGCATCCCTTTATTGACCACCCCCTTAAACTAGATTGCTATTCTACATTTAGGTCAACTTAAAAAACTTGCATATAGGAGAGAACATGTGGATCAAATTTGAGTAGAAGAGTGATCTGATTTAATCTCCTTAATTTCATTTCAATTTTTGAAGAAATTACTGTGGCTCTCTGAGGTAAATGGGCTGAAGAGGTTGAGTGCTGGAACAGAGAGGCCTGAGGAGGTTAATGGGACAGCTAAAGGGAAAGATGGTGGTAGGCTAAGGTAGTGCATCACAGAAAGATGGTAAGAAATAGAAATGTATGGGTATAGTTGCAGGTAAAACTATCAGGACATGGATATTGACTGAACAACTGGAAGGGAAGACTCAAGGATGATTGCTAGGTTTGGGGCTTTAGTAAAATCTAGGTTGAATGAAGATGCCAAATAGGCAGTTTGATGTGGAGTCCAGGGAAATCTGTGTTTGAAATATAACTATAGAGGCCATCAGCATACAGATTTAAAGCCAAAGGTTAGGAGGATTCTACTGAGGCAGAGTAGATAGAGAGACCGGAAGACCTGCCATGCTTCCAAAAGGAAGAGATAGGCACAGAAATGCTCAGAAAAGGCACAAATTAGAGAACAGAAAACCGTGAGTGCATGGCATTTTGGAAACAAGAGAGAAAATTGACAATTTGTATGAAATACTACTGAGAAGTCAAGTAAGATGAAGTTATAGAAGTAGTCATTTGATTTGGTAACCTGGGAAAAAAAAACAATCAGTGAAGAATGAAGTTAAAGGATGAGAGAGAATGATATAGATGCAGCTCATTTGAGGGATTGGGTAAAAAGAGAACAACAGACATGAGAAGTAGCTGGATAAGGGGATATGAAGTCATGGGTCCACATTTTTTGTTCTTTTTTTTTTTTATTAAATAATGGCTCTTATTCAATACAGAACTGGTTCCACACAATGGAACTATAGAGATGTAAAACAGAATGAGGAAGCCAGGTATAAACTAAGACAGAATGATCACCAACAGACACTGTTGAGTGATAAAGTCATGCATGGAACAACGTGTGTAGTATGCTTTTTTTTTTTTTTCTGAAAGGAGGGAAGAATATACATATTTCTATTTCAAGAAGGACATAAACTGTCCATAAGGAGGAGAATGAGATATCTTGTGCACACTGAGAAAAGAGGACTCTACTTTGAAAAGCTTTTTATACTTTTTAAAATTTAAATGAGGTAAATGTATTATCTTTTTAATAAATAAATAGATAATGCTAATACATGTTTAAGAGTCAAGCAGAGGAAGTGAACAGTTTGATGGTGCAGGAATAAGAGATGCTAACCAAGGAGTGAAGTCTGGTAGCAGTGAGAGTCTGATAGCAGTAAGAAGAGAGATCAGTTAGACTTCCTTTCACCAAAGAGAACTCAAGGAGAAACAAGGACAGTTTCCTGTACAAGAGAAGACAGCAGGTAAGTTGGTATATCTGATGAGGGAAAGATGAGGGTATTTTATTCACTTGGTGTTTATTTTGTGCATAGAAAAGGAGCATAAGCTAAAAGTGCAGGAAAATTGAAGAGGTATGAAAAAGTTGAATGATCTCAGAAGATAGGCTATATTTCCTAGGGAAAAAGTAATATAATAGCTGGGTAAAGTGGGTGGTCCCAGATGTAAAGGGAGTGTAGCTAGGCTCAGGACTTGTGTTTTTCAATCACACTGAGCTGGCCAGGTGTGTTTGTCCAGGGAGGAGAGAGGTTGTAGGCTTACTATTCAAGGATAACAGAGGTCAAGCAGGGTTGAAGTTGTGTGTTTCCAAGACAGTCATTCAAAGAAAGAGCTTGGAATTTAGCAGGCTAAATTGGAAAATGAAGACCAGGAGAAGGGTTTGTGACACGTACAAACACATGGTACCAACAGATTAGAGGTTTCTAGTACACAGATGAGTTATGGGGATTCAAAAGAAAGTGAGCAAGAAGGACAGGAAATGGCATCCACAAATGACATAAAAACAATGAGTAGAAACATAGATCAGAACACAATCAAAAGTAGAGGCAACTGAGAAGGATAGAAGAAAATGTTGGTGAAGATGAAGAAGACAAACACATATACTAAATAAGTTCAAAAGCGTCCACTCGAGGCGATTGCAAGCACAGGATGGTCCTCAGCGAGAAGAAAGTAAGACAAAGAGATCCCAAATGCATGCCAGGCAGAAGTGTTTCTTGGCCAGGCAGGTATTCCTGAGTGCACAGTGATAGGTAATTGATACATGTATCTTATCTTATTTGACCTCATTTCTTTTTCACCCAGCCAAACATCCACACCTTTGCACCTGGACCTAATGCTCTTATCTTTTGAGCTGGATCCCTTGGCTCAATAGTAATTCAGAGATGTGCCAAATGGAGGCCAGCCCTGGCTTCCTCTTGGTTTCTCTGTGTTGGAGGATCTTACCTAGCAAACCTAGACTAGGAAAAAGAGATTCCTAGCTGGCCATGTCAGGCAAGAATTATACCAATAGATTGTACCTAGAAGTTGAACACATAACCAGATATGGTGTATGTAGGCTTCTGCTAGCTCCTTAGACAAAGTCACCACTGGTGGTCTAGAAGCAGTGGGATGGGAGTGAAATGGAATTGGAAGGGAAAGAATAAATGATGTCAAATGATTGTTTCTGAGTTTTAAAAACAGGAGGAAAAAAGAAAGAACCTGATTACCCATTTTTTGTAGTGGTAAAATCCGTAGGTTAGATGATATTTACAAGCTCCTTAAAGTACCTGTCCTCAGAAGGAGGGGGCTTTAGGGGGTCTTTATAGAGTAACCTGCATACTCTTGAAGCCTGAGCCACTGAGGAAGCTTGCCTAACTCAAGCCTCCAGATCACT